CACTGTTGCAAGCTCTCTTTCACCTGCTCTCATCTGCAAACATCAAAGTCCACGGAGACTCCTGCCTGACCTTATTTGTCAACTTGTCCATCACAGTAGCAAACAAGAAGGGGCTCGGAGCTGATCCCTGATGTAATTCCACAACCACCTGGAATCCATCTGTCACTCCGACCGCACACCTCACCACTGTCTCACTTCCTTACTATCCTTCCCTAGCTGGTTATGCTTCTGATATTCTGACTTCCTCATACACATTTCCTAGCAGCTCCATTTGACCCTCTCAAAGAACATCCCATTTGCATCTGTAGTGCCCTTTCTTGGCATGAAGATGGCTCATTAGCTTTATCCCTCTGTAGTTGCTGCACATCACTCTTGTTGTGGAAACACTGTACCAGGACCCTTCCTCAGCCATCCTTTCACTCTCCACACTTGTGTTAAATAGTCTGATCAAAAACTCCTCCAAAATAAGACACGATACGTCATTTGAACGACCTGCCTTTCCACTCTTCATCTGCTTCATAGCTGATTTCTCTGTCCTCCATTCGCCCTCCTCGCTCTCATTTTCTGTGTTCATCAACTCCTTAAAGTACTCCTCTTATCTACTCAACACACCATCTTTACCTGTTAGCACATAGCCACTGCTATCCTTAATCTGCTGCACATCTTTTCCATCGTAATAATCTCTCTGCCTCGCCGGTCCAAGTCCTTTCATAATTTCCACCCTCACATTCAACTCACTGTAAAACCTTTTCTTTGGTGCTAGCATTAAAACAGATGCCCAGCTACTACTAAGATGCTAACATTCGTGGATATTTTGTTTTTGCCAGAACTGTTAAACTGATATTGTCATTGACAGCGAACCGTCTTGTATTTGTATTGTGAAACAGATAAATGATAATAAGAGTAAAACTGGAAACTTCAGTTTTTCGGATTTAGAAATGTCGAGGGAGTGTGATTTTCATCGTTCTGCTGTCGTAACAACAAACTGTAGTATGCAGACATGACATGAAAACCTCATTCACTGCCACATAATAAGGAGGACAGAAGGTTTTATTCTGGCCTCAGCATTGTTAATGGTCTGTGCATTTACCAAAGGCTTTGTTAATGTCAGCAGAACATAGAGAAACCAATGCCTCTCTGGATTATTGCTAACTCGTCTGAACTGCTTGTGTGGCAGGATTAGTCTGACACTTTAGAGCCCAAGACTAGAGAGGGATGGATTACTGCCTTTTCATGGAATTGGTAATCTAACCACCTGTCCCCTCTGGAAAGGCTTGGAAACAAGAATGCTCTAGAGCTATTTAGTAGTAGAAATCACTCAGATTTACAAGTTTTTCCACTTCCTTTTCCTCTCTCCAATCCCAATCTGGTGCCTTCTCTCTGCAGATGCTGTGTATGTGCTGTGCTACAGCCTTATCCTGCTCTCCATCGACCTCACCAGCCCACACGTGAAAAACAAAATGTCCAAGAGGGAGTTTATCAGGAACACACGACGAGCGGCACACAATGTTTCGGATGACTTCGTAGGCCACCTCTACGATAACATCTACCTGATCGGCCATGTTGCTGCGTAGCCTCGACTGTCAGCTGACCGTGCTGCACTGAAAAAATAAGAAGCGGCCTCGTGTCTAAAAGTATGGATCACCACAGAAATGGATTCGAACAACTTTTCACATCTAACGAGGAACACGACGGCTAAATCTTACTGGAAAGATCAGAAACAGAAATAACATTGTCACTCTGCGAGAGACACTGTGCTACTAAAAATTAATGTTGACATGTGCAAGAACCTAATTTCTTAAAAACCCAGTCACTGCAGAGGAGGAGATTTGAAGTAGAGCCATGAAGACACTGCACTGATTGAAAGGGACTACTGACTGATGGTGGAGCAAGAGCAGGAAAAGCTTCGTCTTCTGCTGATTGCGTTTAGCTAAGCGCCGCTCGTCTCTCAGCTGCAGGATGAAGCCTGGCTCTCTTGTTGGTAGTGACACACGACATTAAAGGGAGCTAACACAGTATCAAACACACCATCAGTTTAATAAGAATATTAATTGTTAAGCAGTTGAGCCCATGGTGTAAACAGTAGGCTTGATCAGCCGTATGGACGCTATGGCTAGTAGATCAGCTGTAGACAGTGTTTTTGAAACTGCTTTGCTGAATCAGCCTAAATATGTCTCAAAACCCTCCGAACTATAATTTAACCACTGGGTTCTCAGCCTGAGGCATAAGAGTCAGCACACGTGAACACTAAACGATGCCATGTAACAGGGTTTTACCTGCAGTATCTGTAACAAACAGTTATGGAGGCTATAATACTACTGCGGCAACGCTGAAGTCAAACAGAAGATTCCTGCTGCAAGTCGGAAAGATTTTCTGATTATATTAATGAAAGAAAATTGAGACACTCTACATGCACATGTAGTTTATAATGAATGTGTGGAAATGTTGTTCTTGCAGGAGGGCTGCTGTTGTAAATTTTAAATATTGCAAATTGCAATACAGTTGATTGTTAGTAACAGCTAATAAACATGCATATCTTTAGTTACTTACATTTAGTTGAAAGTGAGTATGTGATTTAATGTGTCATAGCAGTGGCTGATGGAGATGGACGGCTATTAAGAGAAAAATAGCTCAAATCAAGTGTAGAAGGAGATAATGTTAGCCAAGAAAAGAGGAGTTTTGTTGGGGATTTGTCTCCTGAACTGGAATGCCAGAACATTTATAACAGAGTATAAATATGATTTAGGGCGTTCATAAAACTCCTGAACAGTGCACGAGTTTAGCCCGACTGCTACAGTTTAGTTTTATTTCCTGAACAAAACATCTTCCACTTTGTTCTGTGACATTAATCACATGTAGTGTAATTCTGTGTTACAGTAACACCACAACCCCTGCAAAAGCAGTCCCATGCTTTCAGAGGTCAGTGAGTTTTATTTAGCTTTCTATTTATGCTAACTGGCTGTACGGTGTCTGAGCTGTTATTGATGGATGTGTAAGGTAACACTACAGTAGGGAGGACATAGATTGATTGTGGATTCTACTTTTTACTAAAAGTAAAGTTTTAATCAGGTGACCTGAACCATCTTGTAGATATGCTGCAGTATGCTTCGGGTGCTGGGGGGCTTCCCATGATGCACGGAGCACTTCTTCTTCTTCACCTCTTTGTTTTCATGCCAGCACTATATTTAATTATTAGCAGTGATTAAACTCTGCTTCCTGTCTCTCTCTGCTCTCTCATCTTCTCGTTATTCCCCACCACGATACTCACTCTGTGCTCGTAGCTTCCTACAGCGAGTGCCAACAGCAGGATGTAGCTGCAGCTAAAGGTTCACTTAATGTAACCATAGCAACAAGACAACACATTTTCTGTGGTTTAATTAAGGGTTTGATTTTATTTTATTGGGTATTGTAAAACAGTCAAAAGATACTGGTTTTGTTTTCTGTCCTACTCATTCTCTTTAGATCATTATCACTCAGACGTTTGACACGAATGTTTAAATTATGAAATCTGTTGTTTTTTTCAGTGTTCTTATGTTATGAAACTCAAAATGCACTGAGAACTTGTTCCAAGGATGTGTCTTTATTTTCCTGACGAGTTTCAACCAAGAGAGAAACTTGTGGCATTCCCTCAGAGCGAGCGAGACAAGCAATGCTCCTCTTGTCTAAATTAAAATGTACGAAAGTAAAGCGATCTCTCTCCTTTAATATCAGATGTGCTGTCGTGAATGCTTATGTTACGCTAGCGTGTCCATCTCGTTAACAGCGACTGAAGCTGTGCAGAGCTGAGATGCCAGCAGCTGGTGAATTGCACATGCACAGATAAATGCACTGAGATCAGTTACAACCGGTGCTTTGTGTGAAAAAACAGCTAGCATTACCAGGTAAATGACATTAAGTGATTTATCAAAGTAACAGATGACCTTAGCAGGCGTATAACAGAGTAGATGGAGTATGGAAAAGTATTTAATAGCTTAAAAAGTAAACCTCTTAATTCAGCAGATTTTTAAATTATTATTCATAAATTTGACCTTTAAAGAATTTTTTTTGCAGCGATACGTGAACCAATCATGAAGCAGACACACATTGGGTTGTCAGACTCAGGCTTCTTCACTAAACTTGTCCTGCAGACGTAGACTAATAGAAACCAAAAACCCAACAAATACTTACACAGCTGTGAAAAACCTGATGGGGGTCAGATGGGAGCCATGAAGAATCGAACCACTTTGCTCCACGTTCTCAAGGTTTCTAATCGAGCAGCAAGCTATCCGCAACTAATTAGCATTAAGAATAAATGAGAGAAGGGTGAGAGTATGATAATGGGACTGACAATGAAAAACACAACAGGACAGTGAGTGCAACACGTCTTTGTGTATAAAAACTGGTAAGAACCAGAAAAGGTTCGGTTTAGATTTCTGCAAGGTCGTCATTTTCTGTTAAGCAAAGTCAGGCTTCAGTTAAAGTTAACCTTATATGTGGTTGTTAAGTTCGTGTTATTTTGAGCTGACTCATTACACCGGCTTCTTCCTCAAACTCAAATATAACTGGAGTGTGTAAGAGTGTTCATATGTGAGGTAAAACATTCAATCTTGACTCCAGATACTTGATGTGTATGATTCAGAGGCAGACGTAGAACAGCCTGCCCCCTGCTGTTTGTTTGATGCAAATGATTAAAGATCAGTTCTAGAGACACGTTCCCATCCACACATGTAGGCACACTTACTGCTGTGCGTGTGTGACCATATTCATACAGCGCCAACACAACTGATTGCTAAAAGAAGGAACTTAATGTTGTCGTCAGCTGTGTTACTACTGGAAATGCTTGGAAATTGGTCCCTTTTTAAAACGTGGATAATACAGCATTTAATTTACAGAGAGAATGAATTATGAATTTGCACTATTTTTAATGAAATTAGTGTTTCAGTAATATGTCACTGAAAACACAAATGTACCCACATCAGATGTAACAGATTTGCGTATGACACTCTAAATTATTTTGTTTAAAGCCATGTTTACTTATTTTTGTATGACATGAGGCACTGAATTTGTCAGACTCCAGTTATAGATGATACCTTTAGAAGGACAGACGTGTACAGATGATGTCAGATAATGTGACATTGTGGTCTAATGGCTCCGCTTTTGCTGATGATTTGGACCCAAACGTGTCTCGAGGCTTCGAAACGATCTGAAACTCAACTCCGTGGTGACATCTGCTGGCCAATTTGGCTATCACCACGTCGTGATTATGCTTTGAAACAATGATGCAGACAAGCCCAGTGCACAGACTGTAATGATCAGTGTGGTTCATCAAGTATCTCCCTCTGTTAATATTTGTGTTGATCACAAGAAATGAATTCATAAAGTAAAACATAAGAGACTGTTGTGTTTACTGTAATAAGCACACAGGTTTCCAGCTGTTTATGGCTCTCAAACTTTTGATGTTTTTTATTACTTTTAAGTTTTCTGGGAGTTCCTGTCATCAGGTTTGTTCTACACTCTCAAACAAAGCTTCAAGCTGGCGTAGTGTGACTTTTTAATTATTTGCATAAATATACACACTACCAGTCAAACGTTTGGTCACAGCTTCTCATTCAGTGTTTTTTCTGTATTTTTGTGCAGATACAAACTGCAAACATCACATATATGAAGCAAGAAGCGCCTTGAGGCGACTTTTGTTGTGATTTGGCGCTATATAAATAAAATTGAATTGAAGATGGGATTATAAAGATAATATATAACTCTAAATCTGTTTTATATTTTAGATTCCTCAAAGTAGCCACTATTTGCTTCTCAATGAGCTTCATGATGCACCTGAATGGTTTCACTTCACAGTTGTGCCTTGTCAGGGTGTTTAAATGAAAATACAAAATGAGTTTTCCTTTTTTAACTTTTATCACATTTTCAT